ACCCAGGCACCCAAGGCTACATGCTAAACCTATTAACAGACATTAAAGCCCTTTGAGTATATTACAGTCTGTTGGCAGGAGAAGAGAAGAGAAGCTACTGTATCTCTGTGATCTCTTCCTCCACGAAGACTCTGCTATTTCTACAAACACCGGCGAATCTGTCTCTGAGACGATGCATTTCCACAACTGATGGTCAGAGGTGTTCTATGTTTGCATCTCATTGAGTCTGAGAGGTACAAGCATGAACTATTTATCATAAATCAATCATTTATAAAACAGGCTAAAGGAACTGCAAAGGCTAAAGGAAATACAATACAATTGTTGGAAAAGTCTTGAATAGTGGGGAAGCTTTAAAAAAAAAAAAACTGCAGGTCTTCAGTCATTCTTTTCTCACAAAGCTACAGTGAGGGAGAGAGAGGACACATTGTCTACATTTTAAAAGTACATTTGCACCGTTTCACCATTTGTGCAATTTCGACAGCTTGCAGGGGTTTGCTTGCATTTTATTGTAATTGAAAACAAGACATTGCCCAGTATTGAGCGCCTCAGACTTCTATTTTGGTTGCCATGGTATCGAAACAGGTATTGATATTGTTACATGTTTTTTCTAGAATGGAATCAAGGCTTGAAAACGGGTATTGTGTAAACCCAAGGGCTAAAACATTGTTCAATACTGCTATAGCAATGGGAGGTGGAATAAACCAACAACAAGAGAGTGCAGATGATCTAAACTCAGAGGTTTTGTCTATCTGCGTCTCTCCATGTTTTACACAGTACTTTTGCAACACGTCCCTCAGGAATACAATTCAGCACTTAATGAGCACCGATCAATCTGAGGGTCGCTGATTAATAGCTTGAGCTTCATCTGACTGCGTTAGAATCACGGCCTTTGTACCAAGGCTTCCAACAAAAGTTAAGAAGTAGGCTGAGAGGGAAATAAATTCAGACTTTTTGATGTGTTTACTGTGAATGCTCTTATCCCGATAATGATGAAATTACGACTACTTGTACAGCCCTAATGAAATCTTATCCTGATAGATCGAGCATTTGTCCATGGTGGAGAATTTTGGGGAAAGTCATACAACAACCTCACTGCAACATTTTTTGCCCCCAAATAAAAGGATTATGGAAAAGTATCAGGAAAGAATCATGCACCACATATTGAATTGCAGATTTTCAATATGCATGTCTCTATCTATCTATCTATCTATCTATCTATCTATATTGATTTAGATGACCTGCCAGGAGAAGAAACAGGAAGTGACAGGCACCTGTACCTTCTGAAACGATTTGCTTTACACCTGAATAATAATAGTTAAGAATGACTCACCTGTAGTATAAAACTGGCCTAAGCTCTTTATAGAGATTCATAGATATGGAAATGTTCTTTTTTACTAAATGTTGAGAAGTGACTTATAGGACAAAATACATGTACTGTATAGTTCCTTGCCCTGCTCTGTGTCTTGCTTATACTTCCTGTTTTTAATGTCATTTGCATTTACTAAGCTGTGAACTCTGACAGTAATAAGACCTGTATACAAAATAAGTTCTGTCTATGATCCATGCACAATGTGTTTGTTATGGAATCAGTGGATGTCAGTGCATCTGGCAGCTTTCATTTAGTTATAAAAAGTCCATGTATTAAAAAAAGAATACCATCCTAGAGGTCAATTCTGTCTCGGAGGTGTAATGTAAATATGTTTAACAGCAGGTTGGCGTGAGGCAAATCGTGCACCAAGTAGGTCAAACTTTCACATGAAGAGTCTTGCCCAGGCTCCCTGTCTGCGGCGGCTGCTGCTCAATGCATAATGCATGACAATCCAGCTGAGTGCACAGCAGCTTTCTTCACAAGAAATGGATTTGACCGGTGTTTATATAAAACACAGTCCTATCAGGGCTCATCCTCAACACAGATCAGACATGCAGCTGAGCTTTGAAACATTTAACGACTGACACAGAAAGCTTTCAGACTCAAGATGGTGTCGATGCTAAAGGGGGTGTAGCTGAACCCGGCCCACAACCTGCATTTAGGCCAAAATGTTCTCCCACCTGGATGATTTGTTTAAATTATATAACACCCTTTTTCACTTTTCTGTGCACTTATAAGGCTTGACCTAGCGTGAATATGTCTGTGTTTAACTGAGTCTGACAATGCACTTGATATAAATGTCAGAGGATGTGTAACACTTACATTTTAATGCATCACGGGAGCTTCCCCCTCAGTGATAATGAAAAAATAATCTAATTCAAGAATATTAAGGCTCCCTCAGGGCTCAGGCCCCATTTTGTTTCCACCTTTTCATCTCTTTCTCTTTTCAAGCATGAAGAAAATATAGAGACATTGCCGTATTCCCTGTTTGGTATGATCTCTTGTGATCATTTTGTCTTCTCCAGATGCTTTGAAAAATATCTTTGCTTATGTCAGCACGTGAGAGGCTGCAGTTCAGTGTGCGCCAGCTTCTTACCTCCACGTTTTTTGCTCCTTGTCGAGCTGCGGGCACTCCCTTGTCCATCCATCCTACTCCTCCCCACACAGCCTCCCATCACTGTCCCTACATGCCACACCAAGGAGAAAATCAATCAGTCATTCTACAGCGCTCACACACACACACACACACACTTTAAAATGAACAATGGCATCACGTCGGATTAACAAACAATCACAGATTATGTTAAATGAAGTGCCTTAAATGGAAAGCATCATCAGGGTATAATGACAGATCAGCACTCCTCGTTCCTGCGGGGTCAGGCAAGCGGCGCTGTTTACGTCACGTGTACTGCCAGCTGACAGGGCACGCGCCCAGACGTCAAGCCACTGTTTCCATGATTTTCCATTCACATATTCAAAACAATTGAATCAAGCACTAAAATGGAAGTTAAAATACATACATCTTATGAGGCTAGATTTATGAATTAATTTTCTCTTTTAATCTGTTAATCTTTTTGCACTGTCAGCACTTTAAATTGTGCTGCTTACCCGAAATCCAGTCGCCAGGTTATGCATTCGTCTGCAGTTTGCTTGCCACATACGAACTTGCTTCCAGGTGAAGTTATCGGTGGGTCCGATCAGCAGAGGAGGCGATTCAGCAGGATGACAGCTTCAAACTGGGAGCTGTGTGTTTGTGCGCCCGGTTCGGTGCAGGACGACAGGTGATCTGGTCACCGGTGTGCCCCTGCAGAGCTCTTCTGGTAATGAAATAATAAATGACACAAAACAGATTCCCAAACCAAAAATAGACCAATCAGTGTTCGTATTTTCCCCAGATCATAATGAAAGGACCTCGCGCATCCGCACAAGCCGTCTCAGTGAGAATTAAAGCGTTATCAGTCAGCACGCATGCGCAGCTTTGACCAATTCATTTATCCTCAGTGAAGTTCGCCAGAATAAGGACAGAGAGATTTTTTCCCCTTCAGTTTAAGGGATAAACGGAAATGAATTTAGTATTTTATCGTGCAGCATTCGAGACCATAACAATTATTTCTGAAAACCTCAGGGGGGGGGGGGGTCTACTTATCTTTCTTACCATTTACGAGCAAACCATGGTTGATTGTTCTTATATTAGGGGTTTTATTCTGAAAGGGAAGGCCGAAGTTGTTGTTTTTTTGCTGTATTTTGGCGCAAAAAGGAACCTCAGCTTTGAATTCTGATATTTATAATTAAAAAAAACCCTCTTTGTAATTAAATAGAAAATAAAGATGCTGTTTCCTAAGTATTGAAAAGGTATGATGACATCTTTTGTAAACTTTATGACTGTAAGATTATTTCACAAACTGCAGGATTCTCTTTTTTACCCCCTTAATGATTATCCTCCCAACAAACTGCACAGCTTTACAACCAGACTTGACATGTTGAACACTGCCACCTGCTGGAAGACTGAATAGTTAAATGTGTGTGTGTGTGTGTGTGTGTGTGTGTGTGTGTGTGTGTGTGTGTGTGTGTGTGTGTGTGTGTGTGTGTGTGTGTGTGTGTGTGTGTGTGTCTGTGTGTGTGTGTGGACTGATGCATAGGGTAGTGGGAGGGAGTGATGAGCTGCAGTAGGGTGAAAGAGAGTTTAAAACAGGCTAAAGTCTGTTATCATCCCATAATCTCTTCTGCTTTTATCTGATAAACTCGTTTCTCACAGTCACCCTTTAACTGGCAATCACAGCCTCACATTTGTCTGTGTTTAAATGGAAAAGATCATATCCTGGATTTGTTACATGCCAGGAAGATTTTGCACAAATGTGGAAGGTAAAAAAGAATCCTCTTCGTCATATTTTTTTTTTTCATCTGCATGCATATCCACTACTGCGTCTGCCTCTTTCTGACGTAATATTTTCATATCAATCGTCTCTAATCTCCCAATTAATCCTCCATTACTAGCAGACTATCTACATGAGCAACCCGGTGATGTAACACTTGAGCCCGAGTTGGTCTGCTCTCTACAGTAAAGTGATGTTAGAGCCGAAAAAAAAAATAGCTGACAGTAATTTTGACACGAGAAGGTACATCAAAAGGTCACATTATCCTCCTTTTCAACACGTTTAAATAAGTCTCAGAAGTCTCCAAAACACGTCTGTGAAGTTTCTTGTTAAAATGCCACTCCTGTATTTGATCATGCCTATAAGCCCATCTATTTCAGCCCTGCTCAGAACAGGCTGTTTCTGTGTCTGTACCTTTAAATGCAAATGAGCTGTGTCTGACCACGCCTCCTCTCTGGAAGGGCTTAAGTGGCTCGGGATTTCTTGCGCCATGCCCGATTGTTTACAGTGAGAAGACAGACTCAGAGGGCAGAACAAACACCTAGCTTGTGGAAGTGTCACCCACCTGGGGGAGGGGTTACTGCCCTTTGTGATGTCACAAAGGGAAAATCTTTAAACGGACTGTTTGAGCGCACATTTTCTGAAAATGGGAGAAGACAAAAGGGATGGACGTTTTTCAGAATTTGGGGGTTTGTAGACAGGCCAGGGACAAATATTCATTTTTAAAAATACTTACTGTGACCAAATGTTTTTATAAATCAATTTATAAAGATTTATTAACTTAACAAGTACAAAAAAATCTGATAAATAACACATTGTCATGGTACAGCAGTTTCCCTTTAAAGTATAATATTGGACTGGAGTCGGATGATGGAGCTGGGAGGTCGAAGTGTTGGAAGGAAACATTGTGTCCCAAACATAAGCGTTTTTTCTTCTTTTCATACATAAAAATCATCTTGGGGGGAAAACAGAATGATGACTTTAAAAAAAAAATCGAAAAGTAATTCAGTCCATGATATGTCAGTGAGTATTTTAGGCTTTGAGAAATATCAAACCCATCCCAGTGTAATGCTCCGAGTCACCAAAGACCAGTCTGTGAAGAAACCCTCCATGTCACCGGTGAAAAATGTAGACCATCAAAACACGGCGAGAATTTGTTGTATTGGAGGTTAACATGAGTCCATGTCTTCAGCTGTTAAGAGCCACCTTGAAGGGATCCCTTTAGTCCGACCTGATCAAAAGACCAGAGCCGGTCGGATGCAGCGAAACACTGCAGAATGTAGGCCAAAGGTGTGCCTAAGCAGAGTCTGTCATACAGGTATTAACTCCTGTTTAACCTGGGCCACCTGCCATGTCAGACCATCACCAGGCGGGGGGTGTCCAGAGGGGGAGGACACGTGTCAACCAGTGACTAGAGATAGAACACAGAACAAAACAGAGGTTACAGAAGAACAGATCATATCATGATGTATGGGAACATGAGATACACACCTCCTTTTCTCCACGCCTAAGAAGAGTTTCCAGTTATTCAGCCTGCCGTAGTTGAAAGGGTTACTGTACACCTGCCAGAACAGTTCAAGAATAAAGGTGTGAGAAGAACATACATATGTTAATTGAGGGTTTGTAACTGTTTTATCGCTCACGACTAAATCACTACCTAATCTTTTTTTAACCATCTGAAGCATCAAAACCTGCTCACCCTTCCTCGTTTCGCCAGCCGCTTGGTTTCTTTGCCGTTAATGTGTCTCTCTATGCTGGTCTCTCCTCTGGATATGAGGACTGCATGCCAAATGCTCAGAGGTGTGAGGGCCACTGTCACTGTGCTGATGGAAAAAAAAGCAAAACATTTTATTAGATCAGCTGCCGAGATAATCAAAAGACAACTGGGGCATGTCTCAGCTCCACGCTGCATACTGACGGTTGATGTGGATGTAATCATGTCGCACTCTGCCCAGCGTCGGTATGAAACACATTCATGTAAGGGATAAAGGATATGCAAATTCAATTAATAAGTGGGAACGTCTGTTCAAATTACACTTAACAATAAGCAAGCGTACAGTTTTCTTTTTCTTAAGGGTAAATACTTTTGTTTGTGTCTGACATCTTCCCGGAGCTGTTTCAAAACCATCCATAGTTTTTTGACTTCCTGGTATAGACTCAAAGGTTGCTATAAGGGTCTGAAACTCTTTAAGGAAGAGAGCCTCAGAGTTTATCTTGTTCTATATGACTGCATGTCCAAAGAGAATCTCATAAATACAGTTTTTGAGTCCAGCAGGTGCTCCTTCCTGTGTGTTTTGTGATCATACGTCAATATCAGTATTTTATTATTTTTTCAAGATTTATTGGGCTTTTTGTGCCTTTATCGTAGCATTAGGACAGTGGATAGAGTCGGATATCCGGGAGAGAGTGAGAGTGGGGAATGACATGCGGGAAAGGAGCCACAGGTCGCCTGCTTGGAGGATTACAGCCTCCATACATTTTCAAAATTAGCACACAGCACACTCCAAAATGAGGCTAAATTTAGTTCCCACACTAATATCTTTAATCTGAATGTATTTCGTTCAGATTTCCGTATGAACACTTGATAAAAACAACACACCTGCTGTGTATGTGATATTAGGTAACTGTAGGCGGCATGTTTCTATGTATGGAAAGAGGCAACAAAAAAAATGCATTTTATCGTTTTTACCTGGCAAGCACCCACATGTAGATGATGCACTTGTGAAACATCCTATCCTTAAAGCTGTGAGGAGGTGCAGGAGTCACAAAGTTGGTCTTGACAAAAGTAAAACAAAACAAAAAACACATTGCATAAGTAACAGAGAACAGTAAACACAGTTGATATGTATTACTGTGTACTGCATTTAGTTTTAAAGCTGTACCTGCCCAGGTGGGAGAAGCCCTATAAGTTGTCCCATCCCTGTTACTGGAATCCCTGGCTTGTCTGTGTCCAAATGCTTAAAGCGCTAATGAAACAGCAGTCAAACACAGACCAGAGGTTTAAAGACAGACACAAGGCAGCATCAGGAAAGAACAGTTTAAGCCCCTCAAAAGGCAGACACCAGAAATGGAGGAAAAAATGTAATAGACACAACCTAGCAAGCCTTCAAAGTCAAAATGCACAGCAGGCTAGCTTCCCATAGTGAGGTGTTTGAGTCGGAGCATCTCACCTCAAGAGCATTGTAGGAATCAAGGAACAGGTTTCTGCCACTGATGCTAACGTAGGCACAGCCCACGGTCAAGGCGACGCAGAAGGAGAAGAAGTACCGCTGGTTAAAGTGGCCCACGCAGTTATTCAACCAGGCTGAGGTGCCAATGTTAAGGAAAACGACCTCGTCTTTGTTGTCATAGCATTTGATTTTAAACACCAAAAAGAAAAAAAAAAAATCATGTTTGATACGATCATAACACAAAGGATACGACAGTGATGGTCCATCTTCAGAATGCACCTTGAAAGGAAAAAAAAAAGACAAAATGAACACTGAAGCTATGGTACCCAACATGTTGAGGTTAAGGTCGACTCTGTTACAACAGAGAGAAAAATGAAGGTTGTTATTGTGCAAACATACACAAAACAGACATAAAACTGCTTTTAATGCAAATGTACAATAAGCCTCGAATACAAGGAAATATAAACACACATGCCTGCAAACACCCACACATGCAACAACATGTGAGGGACCATAACACCCCAAAACAATCTCAGCATCATCATTCTAATATACATGTGGCACCATTAATGACCCGAAGAAATGATGAAATATGACATCAAGAGATTTGTAAGCCTGCTGCTCGGTCTGAACATGTTCACTTGTTGAGCTGAAGTGTCACCGCGGATGGGCTCGCCCTTTTCTGAGGACGAGGTGCTCGACACATCAGAAAAGACGAGACGTGGCTACACCCAATTACCTCACGATCCTTTGTGATCAAGCACTAAGACCTGTCTTGTTAACGGGGCGACACGAGGTTACCAAGCAGAATAATCAGGCCAGGGACAAGATGCTCTAAAAAGGACAGCCTTGTATCATAGTGATCAATATATGAATACACCATTTAAGTGCATTTCTAAACCTTCACATTTGACTTTCAAATGGACTGCTCCATGATATTCTACAGAAGCCCGAGTGGACATCAATATGATTCATTTGCTCAGTTGTACTCCGATAACAAGTCTTTTATTTTTGTTCTCACAAGATTGAAACGTATTTATCTCATATACTTACAAGATGAAAAAGTATAACCTCACTGATATATTTAGTGTGGGCAAGGCAGCATGGCATGTTGTGCTCTGGTTTATCAAAGTGACAGGCCTACTGTCCTGTTTTCTAGATTGCCACTAAATTATCCCGTTATCAAGACAAAACCAGCTTCTTTATTAAGAAATAACATACAGGTCGAGCTCTCGATTAAACAACTCAAATAAAGTCTTTACAGTGTGAACACCAGCATCTTTTATCTCAAAATAACAAAATAAATAATGAGAATGTTTGAGAAACCAACTTGGAAAAACTTGTTTTCATAGGAAAGTGGAGTAAATAAAATGTATGTATGCATGTCTGCGTAATATTCCACTAAACGGCCAAGATGATCTAGATCTACCAAGAGGTTCATGTCAGTTATTTTTAATAACGTCCTCTCATGAGACTTAGAAACTAGGTATAAGTGAAGGCATGTTTATTTATCTAGCACATTTCAGCAACAAGGCAATTCAAAAGGCACAAACAGGTAATCATATCCTTAAAGTTAATAAAAGAAAGTTCCCACAGACATGGTTCCTCTTTAACAAAGACAAGATTTCTATCTTTTGAAAACTGTTTTCATCGACATCATGCAGCGATAGAGAGTCAATAATATTGACTTTCATTATATAGTTTAAGAAATTACACGACTGTCTTGATCAAATGTATTTAGTCAAGGACTCTCCCTTTCCCGACCTTCATTACTCACATTGAAGTACTAAAGTTTGTCATTGAAGTAGGCACAAAGTGCAATTTTCCCCCATAAGAAAAACAAAAACAAAAACCACTGATGACAGTCCAAATCATTCAGGCAACAAAAATGAAAGCGTACTCATCAGTCGAGGGAATAAAACGAACAGTAGAAAAACAAGATGGGCTCACCTGTTGCAGATGCCACAGTGGTGTGTCCTTGCTGGTTTGGGGATGATGCATTTTTTGCAGACTGACACAAATGGACTATCATTTTTTTCCTGATTGAAAGAGAGTATTTTTGTTGCATTACCAAATTTAAGTTTAACTAAATTCCAGATTAGAAAAGCTATTTGTGCTTCTGCAGAGAAGTGTAGCTGCTGTCTTACTGTGGGGGGGTAACCAGGGGACGTCTTGGTGGCCTTGTAGTAATGAAAAGCAATCATGATGATGTTCCAGTGTCCGTAACAAACATGCCAAGCAATCCATGGAGGGCTGTATGTCTTGAAGACCAGAGGCAGTATGACAGAATAAGCTATCAGTATAACGGAGCCGGCCAGTATCACCACCAGACAGACAAACACCTGTGAGAGAAAGACACGGTACGTCAGGAAAAAAAAAACGATCACAGATTAAAAAAAGTCCTGAGAGGGAATGAAGCAAACACACTCACTGTGCCAAACCAGCGGGTGACATAATCCACAGTCCAAAACACAGGCTCAAAGACGGAGTCAAAAACCACATCAGAGTCTGTCAGGGAGTTAAAGTAAAGTGACTGCACTAGCAGCCTCAGGTAAGCCCATATTTCCTTAATCCAGAGTGGTACTCGGTTTTTTCCTCTCCTTGTACACGACCGCAACCGCACACAGCGCAGCAGGTGGATCACTGAGCTGGGACAACACCGCATCCTGCATCTGTAATATGCCAGCACCTTTAAAAGAAATAAAGCAAAAGTTAAAATGTGCAATCATGCAGCATTATGCCAAGTTGTATTTTCTACCTGCGTCAAGTATTCAGGTGTAAAAAAAGTTTTTCTATTAATCAATTCATTGCTTGATAATGATGATCTCTTTGTCTACAGAGATTTTTTAAAAGGAAACTGTCTTCACATTTAATCCATGAGGTCAAACTTTTGCATATATAAAATATATTGTTTTGTTTTTTTTCCCCCATCAACTCACTCATTTCACTCCATTTTTAATAGATCAATGCCTGTTTCATTTAGCTGACAGAGGGTTAACATTCTCAGTCTTTCTATTGTATGTATACGTATAGGTTACTGTATATGTGTTTATATTTGTTTTGTTTTGAAATTGTGTAATTCGATTTGATTAGTTGATTTATTTGTCTCTTTAAGAGGTGAGGTCCCGTGTGTAAGCCTGTTGGCTTCTTGACCTCTCCTGACACACCTTTTATGTTTTTGTTAATCCTATTTTGATGTATTTTATATGTGTGCTAATAAATAAATAAAAAATAAAATAAGAGTTTAGGAAACAGTGAAAAACATCCATTTGAACATTAAAATGTATTATTCCTTCAGGCACAAAAAAAGCGGTATAGGGTAAACTTGTTTGGCATTTCTGTTTGAAAATATACTCTTAACAATAAATCTAATCATCTACATTAGAAGGTTTACCAATTAAGGTTTTTGTTTGACAACTTATCCATCGGCTATGAGTCTTTGCAATAAATCAAACTTACCAAATGCTGCATGGGAGTCAGCCAACTTGAAAGTCTTGGCGTTGAAACTGTTTATAAAACACACCTGCTACATCAGTCTGCTGCATCTGACAACTTAACTTCAGGTACAGCTCACAGGTGTATAAGAACAAAACCAGGGCATCCACTTTTCAACTAAAACCTCTAAGCAAACGATCATTTTGGACAAAGGGATGGGCTGTTTACGATTCAAGCCAACCCTTTGCTTGACTGCATTCCTGACAGGGTGGAGTCTGTCTGCATGCTCTGCAGGTGAGACAGGTGACCCCAATTCACTAACATTGCACACATCAATGCGAAGACTTGAAATGGCAAATTTGCCAATGTGTCTCCAGAAACCTCTAACTGTCTAACAGTTTGTGTCTCCATCGCTGTGAACGGTGTCACAAATGACTTAGGCTCTTAAATCCCTTTTGTTTGGATGTCACAGCCTCCACAAACGTTGTGTCATCATGCATGCCTTAAAAAAGAAAAAAGACATACTCACTATGCTGCCGAAGGAGCCCCTGTCGTCGACATGCTCCAAAATGAAGAGAAAAAACTGGATTACTGCCACATACGAGCGGAGAAGAGCAGGATCAGGCACCTTCAGTGACAGTCGGATCTGAATTCTGATCCGTATGACTGCGCATGCGCTACAACGGCGACCAACGGCATCATGGTTAAATGACCCAGGAAATAAACACACATCTGATGTTTCTCCGCAGCTGTACATTTTGTGGATTTTATTTCCCAATTTAACATAATTTAAAATACAAGCAAATATTAAAGCGACTTGTAAGGGGAACTCGTCTTAACATTGAGAAGCTTAAACCCTGGTAATCGGCTAATTTGGTCCTCGGGAGTTCTGGGATTTGTAGTCCTCACACGCAGCTGCGGGCCTGCTAAGCTACTTCACGCTGGTTTACTCACCATGTGGATACTGTAGGACACGGGGACACACACTTTACAGTCTCACGCTTAGCTGTCTGTGGTGTTGTCAGTCAGCATGTCTTTTTGTTTTAACTTCGACGTTCCTGCACAAACAACAAACCCAGAAGAAGAGTCCGGAGTTCATCTGCAACACGGACAGAAAGACGATGCTGCTAAACCAGTGAGTTACTGAAAACTGTCAGATGAAGTTGACACTGCTTGAATGGGTTGTGTTGTCAACAGTAAGGTAGTAGAGAGGCTCTTAAGTCCAGTCCACTTTTCATAACATATCTTCAACATTTCATTCGACTGAGATTTGATGAAATAAAACGCCTAATTAACATAATAGTGTTGTATTAATTTATCCACAGTTTAAACTTTCAAAGCTGTAAGTTTGAGCTTTTAAACTGCATGTTCATGTATCTGCAAAAAAAAAAAGGTGTATTTGTATTTTCTTTCTGGTTTAATCTATTAGGGCTGCACAATAAATACATTTTTTTATCGTTATTGCAATAGGCCATTCTTTTGCCATAAACCCATCACAAAGGTCTGAATTTATTGCAATAAATTAGAAAAATATATTTTCTGCAAACAAACCTCCCCTTCTCACTCTTCATGTGTACATTTTACAAGCTCTCTCGCCAATTTCATGCAGTCAGATGAAATTAAAGCCTGCTTTCCCTTACCCTCACAGTGAAAGAGACAGAGACTGCATTTATTTGGAATATATTCCTGTATTTTCTCATGTTGCAATATGTAGTGCAGAAAGAATAGATATCCCTCTGTCTATCTCCAGTTGCAAGAAAAAGTATGAACCCTTTGGAATTTCCTAGTTTTCTGCATAAATTGGCCATAAAATGTGTTCTGATCTTCATCTCAGTCTCAACAATAGACAAACACAGTCTGCTTGAACTAATACCACACAAACAATCATATGTTTTCATGTTTTTGTTGAACACAACATGTAAACAGTCACAGTACAGGGTGGAAAAAGTATGTGAACCCTTGGATTTAATAACTGGTTGACCCTCCTTTGGCAGCAATAACCTCAACCAAACGTTTCCCGTAGTTGCAGATCAGACCTGCACAACGGTCAGGAGGAATTTTGGACCATTCCTCTTTACAAAACTTTTTCAGTTCAGCAATATTCTTGTGATGTCTGGTGTGAATTACTCTCTTGAGGTCATGCCACAGCATCTCTATCAGGTTGAGGTCAGGACTCTGACTGGGCCACTTCAAGGCGTATTTTCTTCTGTTGAAGCCATTCTGTTGTTGATTTACTTCTTTGCTTTGGGTTGTTGTCCTGTTGCATCGCCCATCTTCTGTTGGGCTTCAATTGGTGGACAGATGGCCTTAAGTTTTCCTGCAAAGTGTCTTGATAAACTTGGGAATTCATTTCTCCATCAATGATAGCAATCTGTCCAGGCCCTGATGCACAAAGCAGCCCCAAACCACGATGCCCCCTCCGCCATACTTCACAGTTAGGATGAGGTTTTGATGTTGGTGTGCTGTGCCCTTTTTTTCTCCACACATGGTGTTTGTGTGTTCCTTCCAAACAACTCAACTTTGGTTTCATCTGTCCACAGGATGTTTTGCCAGTAGTGCTGTGGAACATCCAGGTGCTCTTTTGCAAACTTTAAACGTGCAGTAATGTTTTTTTTGGACAGCAGTGGCTTTCCCCGTGGTGTCCTCACCATGAACTCCATTCTTGTTTAGTGTTTTACGTATCGTAGATTCGTCAACAGAGATGTTAGCATGTGCCAGAGATTTGTGTAAGTCTTTAGCTGACACTCTAGGATTCTTCTTCACCTCATTGAGCATTCTGCACTGTGCTCTTGCAGTCATCTTTACAGGACGGCCACTTCTAGGGAGAGTAGCAGCAGTGCTGAACTTTCTCCATTTATAGACAATTTGTCTTACTGTGGACTGATGAACATCAAGGCTTTTAGAGATTCTTTTGTAACCCTTTCCAGCTTCATGCAAGTCAACAATTCTTAATCGTAGGTCTTCTGAGAGCTCTTTTGTGCGAGGCATGGTTCACATCAGGCAATGCTTCTTGAGAGTAGCAAACTCAAAACTGGAGTGTGTTTTTTATCGGGCAGGGCAGCTTAACCAACACCTCCAATCTTGTCTCATGGACTCCAGGTTTGCTGACTCCTGACTCCAATTAGCTCTTGGAGAAGTCATTTGCCTAGGGGTTCACATACTTGTTCCACCCTGCACTGTGACTGTTTACATGTTGTGTTCAACAAAAACATGAAAACATATAATTGTTTGTGTAGTATTAGTTTAAGCAGACTGTGTTTGTCTATTGTTGAGACTTAGATGAAGATCAGAACACATTTTATGACCAATTTATGCATCTATCTAGATCTATCTATCTATCTATCTATCTGTCTGTCTAATTCAATTCAATTCAATAGGGCTTAATTGGCACGGAAAACATTCGTTTATATGGCTAAAGTCAAAATAAAACACAAAATGAAGTACAATTAAAGACTAAAGAGTACATATTAAACTAACAGAGCTGTGCAGCTCTGACAATATTTACAGATGACTAATAATAAAAATATTCAGATTTAAAGAGACAGTCTTTTTTAAAGACTAAATGTGTATGTACAGTTCTATCTATCTATAAAAACGAATCTCTTAAACATGTAGGTGTACCTAATAATAAAGGCAGACCTGTCTTCTATTGAAATAGATAAAGAAGAGTAAAGCAGTTGAAAGACTTCCATGGAATAAAACAGAGCCCCTCTCCATACTCCTACACGGTTCATCAGACACAAATAAACCCACATATTCAAATATTAATAAGATATTTTTTCCATCGTGGAAGGGATTCCATCACAAACATTGAAAGTAGGTTAGTTGAGCAACCACTAGAGAGCGTAGGTTGACAATCTCTTCACCCACTAACTGTGATGTCATAGTCTAAAAGTATGTCAATTAAAAGTCAACGGAAATGATACAAGTTCATACTGATATAAGTCTGTAGGAGTTGTTATTGTTGAGTCAGAAGCCAAATTTGTGAGACGTTCAAAGAAAATCACCAGACATTTTTTTATTTTATTGAAGTGATGTGTACTTGTGGGTGCGATCACATGAACTGTTTTTCTCGCAGTATGTCAATCATCACCCAATCAATTACAAACCTGATTCATGGTTTTCAGTCTTAATTAGTACAGTAGCAATAAAAACTAATGCATTTGCATCCGAAGAATATGTTAGTGAGTACCTTCATTTCAACACAATAACATCCCAACAAACACGGCGCTGTCAGGTATTTGTTTTAATCCAAAGTTCTTTATACACTTCTGATGTTTTTGAATCATTAGAATCCAAAAGCGATCAACGAATCATCTCCTTTTTAGACCTCAACATCCTTTAATCAACAGATGCCATATATATTAACTGAAACTTAAAGTGGAGAACGCGGAGTTATCTAAGCCGAGAGAAGCCTTTTTGAAATGTAAAAAAATAGTTACAAAAAACAGAATCAGACAAGTACAACAATAAAAAGACAGAACAGTACAGGATATAAAACTATCATCATGAAGTAAAACAGGAAGAGCAAGATCGTACGTGACCACAAGACTGAGTCCTCTTTAAGGACGGTTTCAGTTTGAGTTTAAAAAGACTCCAGTCTGGATCCAGTTTGAGCTCCGCAGGTAAAGCTTTCCACAGGTGTTTTTCTGAGTGAAGAGTTACAAAACGGCAACTAACAGTCTCCATTAGATCTGAAATAATTCAATAAAATTGTTAGAGATGGGACAGAGCTGATCCAATATCGCCGTCGGGTCCAATATTGACATCATTTACGGATCGGATATCGGACTTGAGAATGATTGTTGGGCACTTTAAACAATGTCAGCTCGCACAGTCTCACTTTGACATTCAGACTGAACTGTAAGAAGTGCTCACAGATCGTCTCCATCAAGATTTCAGACGAGATGGAACGGCTTCTTTATGATAAAAAAGTAAAATTCTCCCATTTCAGTTTGAAAGATTTAATTTGAAAACCTCATAGTTGTTGCTGAAGATTTTATGCATTTAATTTATTTATTTTGTTCCTTTTTTGAAGTAAATAATTGCATCTCTAAAAATTATTCTAATTTAGTTTTCCAGCTAAAACAAAGTCTTAAAAGTCTGTCTTACATGCAGCGGTTTTTCACTTCTGGCTAAAGAGCATCAATTTATCACAGCTTCATATCCCTGCGGTTGAATGGGCTTCAAACCATGATATTTGAATATTAAAACATAATGAATGTAGCTTCACAGAGTGTTCAGATGCACGCGTGCAAGGGAATACATTTCTTCTTAAACCATATGTGCCACTTTGTGTTTTTCAGATTGAGGACCGTACCAAACCAGCAGAGCCAGTGAAAGAGGCCAAAGAGCACCTTCCACAATCTGACCCCCAGTTTCTCCTCACTGACGCTGTGGCTGAAACAATTACTATAGGGACTCTACCTCCTCTTCACTTCCTGAACGAGACAGTTTTTGAAAAGACGGCTGCAGAGAGAGAGGACAGGGAGGAAATCCTGTTACGCACCGCTGAGCAGAGGTCTGACCTCATCTCTGGCGTGTATGAGGGAGGGCTGAAGGTGTGGGAGTGCACGTATGACCTCCTGGAGCTGATTGAGAAAGATGGAGAGACCTTTGGGGGGAAGGCGGTTTTGGATTTGGGATGTGGGGCGGGGCTGTTAGGGATATTGGCTCTTAAGAGAGGAGCCAGGCAGGTCCACTTTCAAGATTATAACAGTACGGTTATTGAACAGCTCACCGTGCCAAATGTAATACTGAACTGCCAAGA